CTGGGAACTTCCCTAGGGAGTGTGCTCTTTAACACAACTTGAACTGTCCTTTAGTCAACCCATTTAAGTAAGAGAGAGTGGACCATCTGTCTGGGTGCTGTGGGAGGTTCTCAAATTAGAAGGCAAGCTGAGCACTGAAGATGACCTCTCTGGTCTCTTCAGAAACTTAGATTTCATTATTCTCTGAATTAAATTTATTAGGAGCCTTTCAGCTTAATTAGTTCCACTTCTGTCCATAGAAAGAAGATACTGTTGAGTTGATTGAGAGGCTGGATAGAAAATGTAGGTCTGGACAGATTACTTGTGCTTTTGAAATGTTCCAGTGTGACTCTCCAAAATGCTGTAATTAGATATATCTGGTGGCTGATATTTATAAGCTAAGATTTAGTAGCATGATTCTTTTTCTGACAAAAGTTTGTTTTGAGTTTATCAGCAAACCTTTTTGGTAGATTTCCTTTTGGTAGCATGAATTTTAACATTTCATCATTTCCATAAACATATCACCACTTATTATAAGGCATTCTATTTCAGAATTTATCATTACTCATTATGAATGGTCAAAACACCACTTATTTTGTTTTATTTTATTTTATTTTTTTGAGACTAGGTTTCCCTGTACAGTACTGGCTGGCCTTGAACCCAAAGTGATCCTTCTGACTAATCCTCCCAAGTGCTGGGGTCACAGGGGTGTGTCAGCATGCCCAGCTCACCCACCATACAGTATATTTAATTAGGACATAATGACCTGCAGAGAAAAATCATTGTAAAGGACAATTTTTATAAAGAATTAGTTCAAATCTCAATTTTTGTGTCACTTAATATTTGCTCCCTTTGGTAAAAATTACCAATTGTGTAAATTTCTAGGGCTTGCTTGTTGAATAAGCCACATTTGGATTTTATAAACCTGTGTGTCACAAGATCTCTCATTCCCCTAACTGCCCTTAAAATGTTTTTGAAAACATGCTGCATTTGAAACATGTAGGAAAAACTTCTTCATGGGAGACAGATTTTCTATGACTTAGAAGCCCTGCACCATGCTGGTACTGTCATCTTGAATTTTCCTAATGGCGACTTTGCAGACACCTCCATCTTGGAATTAACTTGCTCTGTACTTTGTTCTCATTTACTCCATAGCCACGGAGTGATTGGAAACTTTTTTTTTTTTTTTTTTATCAGTACCGGGGATCAAACTCACAACCGCCTGCTTGCAAGGCAGGTACTTATGCCGCTGAGCTAAATCCCCAACCCCAATTGGAAACATTTTAATGATGGCATTGCACAGGGTCCAACAAGTGGTAGTGTGGGAAAGCAGTTCCTCAGGGAGGCCCTGTAGGCTGAGAGGCACTCCTTTGTGATGGTAGTGTGAGGTGATGGGACCCAAGTTCCTGACACGCTATGTTTATCTGTGCTTTCTGCTTGCTTGTTTAAATATTTGGCTGGATTTATTGGAATCAATTTAAATATTAAGTTTAACTGAGTTACCTGGGCTGCACATCCTTCATCAGTGTTTGTGAGGGATGCTGTTTTCTGGCCATGCGGAATCCCTGCAGGCAGGCTCCAGCTCAGGAAAAGATTTGTAAAAGTGAAAATGTGAGCCATGAGACCAAAATGCACAGCAGTCACTGAGACTTGTACAGTGTGGTGCCCTGAGCTTGTGGCCCCCGTGCAACAGGAAGTGGAACCTGTGCCAGCAGCATTGTCTTGGGTCTTGATGCTGAAGACAGAACCCATAGGCTGCTCAGGCATCCTCTTGAGACCAGGCAGCCCGGAACATGGGCTCCTCCAAGAGGACAGCTGGGCAGCTCTCAGCAGAAACGTGATGATGGTTTGACTTGATGGATATCATGTGTGGGTGGCTTAACTAAAGGGATCAAGATCTGGATTGCAACAAATGCTGTTCTTTTTTTTTTTTGTCTTTTTCATTTTTATCGGTACCGGGGATCGAACTCACGACCGCTTGCTTGCAAGGCAGGTGCTTATGCCGCTGAGCTAAACCTCCAGCCCCAATGCTGTTCTTCTTTCATATTGCCCAGTGTTGTTCCCATCACTATCATCTCTCATTCATTCATACATTTACTCGACAGATGTTTATCAACCAAGTGCCAGGTGTTTTTGATGTACTAGTCTTTTTTTTAAAGCGTAGTTTTTTTTTTTTTTTTTCCCAGTAAATTGTTTTAAGAAGATTCCTGCTTATGGAGTTTCCATTCTTAGGCAGGCCTTGTGTTAAATAATTGATAGTTATTATTTTACTTAATGCTTACATTAACCTGGAAGGCAGGTAACATTATCTCCATGCTACAGATTAAGAAACTGAGACCCAGGGAAGGAAATTGTCCATGTCACACAAAAGTATCTGAAGACAAGCACAAAAGACTCTAGTGCCTGGGCTCTGGGATGTTGGGCCAGCTTCCTGGGGACAAACTGAATGGCAAATGAACTGTATCAGTCATGCATTTGTATTTTAGGCACGAGGCCACCTGTGCACTCTCTCACTGTTCTCTGTGCTTGTGTGGAAGCATTTGGTTTCAGAAGTAGACTTGCTAGATTTGGGGTGGATTTGTTCTTTTTTATTTCTTTTTTTTTTTTTTTTTTTTGTGGCACCGGGGTTTGAACTCAGGGCCTTGTGTATGCTAGGTAAGCACCCTATCACTGAACTATATCCCCAACTCTGGATTTGGATGTTTTAATGAAATAGAGACAAAAATCACCTCCCCAGGTAATACTTCTTAAGAGTCTCATATGAACACACTGCATGCTTCCTTTCTTCTAGTGTTGCTTTTAATTGGGATGTTTTTGCGTGTGCTTTTCTCAAATTTTGTGTTCATGCGGGCTCACATTATTGCTATCCTGGCAGAAGCAGCTTGGCAAGGCTTCCTTCAGCATGGGAGGTATTGCTGTGTCTTTTGCCTCTTGTTGTAATTGCATCAAAATATATGTGAACAATTGCTAGGGATCGTGTAGTCCTTGGAAATCCGACTGCGTAAAAAGTACCCTATAGTTTCGGTCTTTGGTCATTATGTATTTTTTGAGCTATGATTTGACTGTAGCTTATCAATAAGGAATGGTTCTTGATGGATGTTATATTAGTACCATCCTATGTTTGACCTTAAACCCAAGGCCTATGTCTACTATAGATACACTCCACTGTAGAGGTACATCCCTGATTTGGAGTTGAGTTTCTTGAATTCCAGGCAGAGATGTTATTTCTGATAGCTCATAGTAGTTAAGTGTCTTTTAGCTGTCTTCTGCAGCTCTGGGTTCAATTCCAGCATTAGCAAAAACAAGTTTTGTACTTTTGTTTTTAGTTATTTTTAGATTAGCATACTTATTTATATTTGCATCAGACAGTGTTATCATCCCCATTTTGTGATGGAAGAAATAGGTTTCAGATAGCATCAAAGTAACTGAGATAGCTGGTATTTTGGTTTGTGTCTGGATGTTCCTCCAGAGCCTCATGAAGTCATGGAGGTGTGCTTCTCAGAGGTGACTGAATCTAGATTTGTGATTGATTCACTGTGTAGTGCTGGGGTTGGGGGGTGTGAGTGCTACACCTACCCTAGGGTGGGTACTGCACATACAGTATAAGGGACAGAAAGAATTTTCTCACTCGTTCCTCCCTTTTTGTTCTTGATTCTTTTACTGTTTTGCTGTTTTCTGCCTCTATGAACTATTGCTTGCCATGTGTCACTCTACCTTGGAGCCAGCCAACTAGGGACTGAAACTTCCATAAGCTGTGAGCTCCATAAACCTTTCCCTCTTTAATGTTGGGCCTTGAGTGTTTTGTCTCAGCAAAGAGAGATAAGTAACCAACACAGCTGGCTTTGTAATTCCAGGATTTGGGAGATTAAAGTAGGACCATGGTGAGCTTCAGGCCACACTGTGTAATGTAGTAAGCTCTCAGGCCAGCCAGGAATAGATCGTGAGAGACTGTCTCAAAAAAATTACTCAGATGATTTGCTTATCCAAGAAGCCTGGATGTTTCCAACACACTCATATTTGTAATTATAATTCATGTAATGTCAAAAAAAGTTGGAATCAAACCCAGGGCCTTGTATATAGTAAGCAGCTACTCTACCACTGACTTACACACTCAGCTTCTGTGTCATATTTTATCGTTTGTATTTTCCATATCTTCTCTGCAAACACTTGTAGACATGACTTTGTGAACACAGTCTATGACACTGGTGGCGAACCTGTGGCATGCATGACTCAGTAGACACTTGGTTTTTTGTTGTTGTTGTTGATACCGGGGATCAAACTCACGACCTCACGCTTGCCAGGCAGGCACTTGTACTGCTGAGCTAAATCTCCGGTAATAATGGATTTTCATGGATAAACTTATCATTGAATGTGCAAATGTATACACATGTCATTTTCCCCTCTAACCTTTTATTAAGAAAACTTACAAAAACACAGAAAAGTCAAAAGAACTCTACACTGAACTCTCAAAAACCCAACACTTAAATTCAACAATTATTAACACTTTGCTATATTTGTCTCTGTGTCATTTTGCATCGTGTGCTTCCGAATTGAATACTTCTTAAGTAGTAATTTTTCTCAGAGAGCTTTGCCAAGGAATTTAATTTTAGCTGCTTGTTAACACATAACATTTTGTTATATTATTATCCTTAGAACAAAGCATTAAAAATACCAAGTCGAGTTTTATTTGGAAATATGCTGGTTTTGGAATTTTAAGATAGAGAACTAAATTGACAGTATTTTAGTATAGCTTCAAAGTCCAAAGAACTTGATAAACTTTCTTGCACAGTTTAAATCCCAAAGAGACACTATAAATTTTTTAATGAAACTTAGGTGGTCATTAGGTAATAAAGACAACCAGGCAATGAAAATCCATTTGAAATGTCTAAGGCATATTGGACTAATTCATTCTTACAGGTGGTTCAGGCATAGAGTGATCTAAATATAAAATATATCAAAAGGTCTGAATTGTTTTAGAATCTGAAAGCAGAAATAGATTGTGGACATGCTATATTTCGATGCAGGTGATTGTTCTGACATATTTTTCTTCCTGAGAAATATAATCTCTTTGAAAATTTTCTTCTTTCTTCTGGCATATTTTTCCCCTTCCCACTTAGGAATCTTTTTCCTGTTTTAGAGTTCTGTGGAAGGCTTTTCTGTTATGCAAGATAATATATTTTGTTTTGCTTTTTTTGTTTTTGAAGTAACAGAAATGATGCTGTTGTATCTAAAGGAAAAGGAGCCGTTTGTCTTACCCACATTCTTACATCTTGTATATTTGCCTAGAGACTTTTAAACACACACACACCAAATTAACATTTGGGGAATTCCCACATTTTATGTTGTGTGGCTTGGTTTCCATGGCAACCTTCTGACTCCAGTCCCCAGGCCTGTGGTTCCTTAGGTGACGCGTCCTCATCCTCCCCTGTTCCCTGCTGCTGACCAGCACTGCACGGTGACCCTGAGCAGTCACTTAAGGCTGCTGTTTCTTTATCTGGAACTGGGAGGGGTTGCAGCATAGTTTTTTTTTTAGGCCTTACTCTACCAGCATAAAAATTTCTTGGTTCACATTCAAGATTTTGTGGCCATTAGAATAATTTTTGGATGATTTTATGTAATGGCTTTTATTTGCCAGTTGAGATTAGAAAGCATACCTTCAAGTATGTATTAAAATATATATTGAGAAACACTCGGACAGGCGTGTTGGTGTACACTTGTAATCCCAGCACTCAGGAGGCTGAGGCAGGCGGATCAACTTGAGTTTGAGAGTAAACTGAGCCACATAATGAGTTCAAGACCAGACTGAAGTGCAAAGCAAGATCCTGTCTTCAAAGAAAACAATAAATGGAAAAACTCTCTTTTTGTGAATATAGATATATGTGTGTATATGTAAAGATACAATCTTTTTTATCTAGGTAAAGAAGTAAAAGCTTATAGCAGAATCTCATTGCATATGCAGATTCATTCACATTTTAAAAGTAATAAAAATATTTTACCAAGCTCCATATGTTTGTCCAGGTTAACTTGTGTATCTGTGCACTTAAAATATATTTTGAAAACTATTTTCTTTAAAACTTTTTTTCAAAAATGTAAATAGTACCACACAGATGTGATCTGTTCTCCTATTTAGTAGCCCTCATCTCTCCCCCAAAACACCAATATAAAATGATCTAAAAATATGGCTTTTTTTTTTTGGGAATTTTTCATGAAAGGATATAGCAAAACTTAAAAACACATTGACCCTCTGGTATACAACTTTACAGTAATTTGATGCATATTTTTGATAAAACAGCCCCATATTGAAGTAACAAGGACTTTCAGTGTAAGGCCCTGCAGTTTAGCCAGCTTAAAAAAATGAAATAACTTCAGCAAGGAACACAGACTAAGTATATACCCAATATTTTGCAAATCATGGAATAATTTCTAAGGTCCTTTCCTGAGGCGGAGTTTTTATAGCCGTAACATTCCAGCTGTGGTTTGGGGAGCAGAATGTTTACTACCGTCCTGAATACAAGGATGGGAAGTGTGTATTCTCACTGCTGAGGGCTTAAAAAAGAAGTAGACAGTCCTTTCAAGTCAGTAAACCTTTATTCGGAAAACCGTGGAGCTGCGTTCCTATGGAACTTTGGTGGTAAGTGTGGAATGCAGGCCAACAAGAGGCCAGTCATGGGCAGCCGAGTGTCTCAGGCGAAATGGCAGGCTGTCCCGGCTAATCACTTCAGGCAGCCCTTGGAAAACCACTTTCTGGTTAAGTCTGCATCATACTGTTCCACCAATGGAAAAAATTGAACATGATGAGGGTGTGTAGCTAGCAGACAAAAATATATCCAGCATTGCACAGGATCTGTTTTTAGCTTTCAACGGCTGAGCATTTGAAGTGTTAGACACTGTTTCCTGGCTTACCATGGGCAAAAGGAAGAGAGATTTGGAGGATGTGGATGTAGATTCTAGCTACGTGAAACTTTCTGTTAGCGAAAAGACACTGGGAATAACTAGCTACATTCAAAATTTTGACCAAGGTAAGGCTATAAGTGTTTATTTTCCTCCTTGTGGAGCTGAAATTTAATTTTATGTGCATGCTATAAATGTTGTTGCAAAAGCACCTTTGGTGCTATATACTTGGGTGCCAACTTATCATTGTTTTATACTCTTTTGTACTTGGGCAGCGTACACTGCTGTCCATACAGGAATTATTAAATTTGAATGTCTACAAGCTTTATGATTTCTTGAAGTTTCCTGCTACATGTTATGAATTAAGAATTCTCCAAAAGCTAATTGTATGGATCCTTTTTTCCTGATATCTTTGGAAAGTACCATTTCTCAGCCTGATCGTGTTTAAACATCAATGACTGCTTATCTTTCCTAGTCAGTTCTTTCAGAATGGAATGGGAAATTAGAATGTGCCCAGGATTGGATTTTGTAGATTCCTGGTTATTTACATAATCTCAGCAGCCTTAGTGTTTAGCTGAGTGGGCTTTTTGGTTGAAGAGTTTCTTTTCAAACTTGTAATTTGATGTTCACTGTATAGTATTGCTTGTCCTTAAGTTGTGACTCAAACCTTTTGAAGAGAAGAATCCCTCATAACCTGAGGAAGAGGGGGTATAGGTTTAAGTAGAGTGGTCCTTGCTGCTTGTCATCAAGCCAAGCTGCTCCAATTAAGGCTGACCCCAAGGAGCACGAGCTGTTTTGAGTAAGAGCTCGTGTGCTGATCGGTGGTAGTGGAGGAGCCTCCTCAGCTTCTGTGTAGCTCTTCCTTGACAGTAATTTGGCCCAGCATGTAATTCTCAGAAAATTGGTAGGTGGAGAGACAGAAATAGGAAGCTTCACTGAAGTCACTGTAACTTGGAAGATTATTTTTAGGATTTCTGGAAAGTAAGGGTATGGCTGCACAGCTGCTGGAGTATTTCCTGATGCGTTTCAGCATTTTACTGTGGCCTTCATTCACTCTCAACCCTTCTCAGACTCTGCTTATTTTCATTATAATGCTGCTATGAGCTGTCTTTGAGTAGGCGGCGTGGGCTGCTTTTCAGTTGTACAATGACGGTCTTCTCTGTGTGTCCCTTCACTTCCTCTATGGAAATGTCTTAGGAATGAAATGGAATGGTGAGCGAGGATGAGCGAAGTTAGAATTAATACTGCTGGTCACTTTTTATTGATTACTTTTCCTTTTAATGTAATAACTGCTGCTCTGGCAGTACTTGTGACCGTTCAGAGCAGGTTCAGAGTGAGGGCTGCCTGCCTCCTCCTCGGCTGAGATTAACACTGTTCATTGATTTTGATTTCTGCCAGAGCTTGTAGACAAAAGACTACATAAACACTCAATTCCATATTCCAGTGTTGTGCATACATTCAGATGACGCCTTTTTTCAGGGTTTTAGCACGCACAGAGCAACTCACAGGGCCCTCTCGCAGGCCTGTGGGAAGGAGGTGCAAGATGATAGTTCAGGCCTCCAGATGCGGTTATCCTTCTGTTGTGGACCCTCAGTTACTACTAAAGAAGACAGATGATTGTCTTGGTGGTCCCAGCTTATGTTTGAGCAGAGCATTATTTTGTTCTGCAAAGTTAACACAGGGTTTCAGCAACCTCTTCCTGCCGTAAACATCTGATGAAAGAACCCAGAGCTCATGCTTCTCAAATATCTGACAGGGCACTTTACTAGGTCCATATGTGTCTCTAGGTCTGGCCTACTTGCAAGGTTTACTTATATGATGATAATAAATAGAGTGAGTGAGATGCCTTAGCTCAACTGTGAAATTAAGAACCACTTTTTAATGGAACATTTACAACCAGACTGTTTTGGACCTTCTTTTTTAATGTTTAAAGACTAACTTGTATTTTTCCTTTTCTAATTAAACATACTTTACATATAAGGTAACAATGGGTTTATGAGAAGTGAAGAAAAAAGAAATGGCAACAATATTGAAGATGGAAAAAGTAATAACAACAATAGTAGATGAACTTGAATTTCTAATGGTTAAAATTTAACAATAATGGAATTTTCAATCCTATTTAAAGCAGGCTTATAAATGTTATGATTTAATGACGTTCTAGAAATATAATGTATACTCCATTTTCAATTAGCTATAGTCAGTAGGATCATGGAAATAGGATCTCAGAACTGACAATGGATTGTAGACATTTTTTTAAACTGGAAAACTGAAAAAAAAAAAAAAAAAACCACAGAACTAAAATGACGTATTCAAGGTAACAGTGATTGTTAGTTGCTCAGCTGGGATGAGATTCTTGGTATTCTGTTCATCTTTTTTCTTATATTACTCTTTCATTGATAATACTTTGGTTATTCTGTTCTGATACATTTTAGTAAATCAAGAGAGACAGGTGTGTACATACATGGAGTACATGCACATATATGTATTACATATTGATACATGTACACATGTATATCTACATATACAAATATTTATCCATTTCTGCCTTCTTAGCTTTGCCCAGGAACTTCTTACCTGTCTACTTACCAACCCAACAGATGTAAAGCTCTAACCAGAGGCAAGGACTTTTGCTTTTCTTGGAGCCTAATGAAGTTCAAAGTTGTGCATTCAGACAGTGACTGTCAACTTTGTATCACTGTCATAGAGAATTTTAGGTTCAAATATGCAAGTTGCTCTAACTTATTTTATTAGATAGATTTGGTTAGAATTCATGCCAGCCTGTTACTGTTTGAACTTTAGATTAACAGGTTTCTTTTTCTTTTCTTTTTTTTCTTGGTGATCACATTCCAGTAAAGACTGTTTAGGTTTTGTTATCTCTGTGCTTTACAGGAGATGCCATGCAAGGGAAGAGAAATAGCAGACAAGTTCTGGTTACAGGGCCAAGGTAATGCAAGGCATTTTTGGAAAAATGAACTTTACTGATAAAGTGGTGAAATTGTTGTTCCCAGTCTAGGAAAGGGACACGTAGGGCACACAGTGTCAGGGTAGAGTTGATTAGAGATTTCTATTAAGGTTAATCAATCCTTAGGACAAGGCTAGAGCGCAAGAATAAGCTCACCCTCAGCCGTGACACATGACACATCTCTGCAGCTGAAAAATTGTTGTCGAATTTCCACTATGGGGATGTGGAACAGAGCTAGAGATAAGGGGGTGTAGGCTGGTAAAGCCCAAAACTAAAACCCGTATGATTGAAGACAGTAAAAAGAAATTAAATGGAGAGAATGAAAGCAAACTGGTTTTCAAAGTCCTTCCTCTGTGATAGCATTGAAGGTGGGGAAATGTGTCTGACAGACAAGTGAGAGAAAACACATACAGTAAGTGGTAAACCAAGGAGACTCATGACACAAGGAAGGAAGAGGAAGAGCTTCATGAAAAGTGAATTGATTCCACTGAAAATTGGAAGGTGGAGCAGAAATGAATCAAAGTAACAACAAAAATTAAATACAAAACAATAGGGGCAACAACTCTGTATCTGAGCTTTCTTCATCAACTACCATCCGGCCCTTTATTTTCCTTTACAGTAAATTTGTTGAACAAGTTACCTGCGTTCACATCCTCTGCTTCATTGACCTCATCCTCCAACTCACTGAACTCTGCCTTTCTCCATCCTCAGTCTACTCTGGGCAGGTGTGTGTGCTAAACTTTGTCAAACCTGGTGTTTCCTTCTCAATTCTTGTAATTTGAAGCAGGCATTTGATACTTTGAAGTATTTTTTTCAGTTGACTTTAAGGGCACCATATGCTCCTTGTTTCCTCTAAGTTCAGCTTACTGTTTGCTCCTTCTGTTGTGCTTATGTTTTTCTTCTTGTTTCCTTGATTCCCAGGACCTCTGGTCTTCCCTTTGTGTACTTACAGTGTGTACAGATTGTGTTTCAATATGATCGTCATAGGTATAAGCAGCAGATTTGCACCTCTCACCACTTTACCCCTAACTTCAGACTTGAATATCCGAATGTTCACTCAGTATTGTCATTTGTTTAATAGCCAACTAACATGTCTGACACTGAGTTTCTTCTGTTAGTCAACTTTCCTTTGCTGTGACAAAATGCGTAAGAAAAGCAACTTTAAAGTGGGAAAGGTTTACTTTGGCTCGTGATTTCAGCTGTTCAGTTTGTGATTGACTGGCTCTTTTGGGTCTGAGGTGAGGCAGGACATCTTGGTGAGAACATGTGCAGGACCAAAGCTGCTCACTTTGTGGTGGTCAGGATGAAGTCAGAGAAAGGAAGGATCAGGAGTCCCACATCCTCTTCAGGACACGACTATAGTGAGTGACTTTATTTCCTTCCACTAGTCACCATCTTCTAATGGTTTCCCACTTCTTAATAGTGTTACAGCCTTTAGCATATAGGCCCTTGGGGGACACCCAGAATCCAAACCATACCATCCTCCTGCCAAGTGTGCTGCGATCTGCACTCCCCATTCCTCTCTTGGCTTAGACAGAAAGTCATAGAGTTGTCCTGGACATCACTCACCATTCACTTCTATTGCCTGGAGAGTCCTGTGAGCTGTCATCTTTCTTCTACTGTGACCGGAGTCCCCCTCATGAGGGGGGACTCACCTCCCACGTGAATCATTGTCCTAGCCCAACCCCCAGCCCATGCCTGGGTGGCCGACAGTGTGCAGCAGCCACAGCCCTCCTTTAACCACGTTCCATCACGAGCCCTCCGATTATGACCTTTACTCAGCGTGACCTCCGCAGTGCTTCCAGGGTCCCCCCAGACCCTTCTGGCACTCTGTCCGACCTCTTGTGCTTTGCTCTCCCATCCAGCCTGCTCCAGCCACACTTGACCTCCTTCCCATCCTGCTTCTCTGGGCTTTTGTACTTTCTGCCACCTCTGCCTGGAATGCTCTTTCCCGGAATCCACAGGACCTCCTTGTGTAGTGCCTGAGCTTTCTCTCAGCAGCTTCCTCTTCTGTTCCCTTTCCTTCCTTGCTGGTCCTCCCTTTCCCTCAATTCCTGTTTTTCCACAGTGCTGTTCACTTTCTTGTTCATCCCTCTCCATTGTCATGTAAGGCCCATCTGAGCAGGGATCTGTTGATTCCACTTGGTTAATTGCTGTGACCCCTGG